CCCTCTCTCTCTCTCTCTCTCTCTCTCTCTCTCTATCTCCCTATCTCTTCAACACACAAATATCCATGCCCCGATGAATATTCTATATATTTTCCTTGGCGTTTTTAAGAGTTGCCTGGTCGTTACCACTAGCCTCTGTACCACCGCCATCATCTTTTCTTAAAATTCTTTGACTTGAATTTTACAGCGACTTAATGAATACGGGTTGGAAGGCTACTTCTTACAAGCCGTGCTGCAACCATTTTACCATTTTTAACGGACAATTTTATTGAAGGTTTTATTTCAACACTTCCTCTCCTCACTACAATTATGTGAGATTATGGAGTTTCGTAAAAATAAAATAGCTTTTATGTATTGTAAAGCAGGACTGTATTTTGTTTTACGATGCTGCTTTTGTAAACTCTATCGACATTGGGAATCTGCATTGTCGTGCCCATAAATTTTATTTGCATATTATCGCCTAACCTTTTTATTTACGTTCAATTTAATTTACCATACTGTCACTTTTGCTATTTCAATATTTCAATGCTTACAGTGCAGTGCAATGAGACGCCGAAGTAAGTAAGAGGGGCGTGGGAGTGGGGGCGAGGCGAGGCCAATGAAATTCGATTGGATTTTTAGAATTGAATAGAGAGTTCGATTATTAGCACCGTCATTATAATTACCATCATGATAATATTCTAAAACATTTATAGCCTTAATTGCAAAACTGTACTAAATCATCGTTGATTAATCTATTTCGTTCGGCGATGTCTATCAAACTTAACGAGATAACAACCTCAAAATAAGAAATCAAAGTCCTTGCGGATGCGCGCCATCCCTACTATAGAAGAAACTCATGTGCCGCCCGATCATGATCGCGATCCCAATCATAATATCGTGATCGAAAATTCTTGAGCGAAACCAAGTAAGTCAGTGGCCATCGTATAATATTCCATAACAAAATTTTTTGCAAGTGTATCAAATTTTCGGATTACGTGCCGTCGCCAAAGTAATACATAAAGGCACTCATCTCGAGAAATTCACTCGCAAATTCATAATTTTATCGCCCGTCGTTCCTCAGCAGCAGTCTATTTAATGAAATATGCAGCTTTCCATGCCAATATCAGTTATGCGACGTGCAACACGTAAAAAGTATTTAAATGAAAAGTCCTCGGGTGCGGCAATAAAATGATAAATAAACCACGTACTCCAGTTCGCAAGTAATGCGATAATTATAGATTAGTAATCGGATATGCCGCAAGAGCGTACACTACTCGGTAAGGTAGCAAATTCATTTTATCGCCAATGCGTTTTACATTTAGATTAATATTTCATCGCACTAGGATCTTCCCATTAATATAATGAATATACGCAACTCATCAACCCCACAGCATAATTAAATTGCACTTAATCGATCCGAAAATAACGACGATAAGAGGCTCAAGTAGAATAACAGAGGGCAATCGTCGCAACCGCAAAATGACGATGGAACTTCCTTGTAATTACACGCGCGAGCTTTTACGTCAAGCATCATGAAAAACAATCCTCTCCACGGCTTTTGAATTGCCCTAGGATCACTGACCTAGGATACGAGGGAGCCCCAGCGACTCGTACTAGCCGAGGGAGTACGTCTGGCTAAAAGAGAATGCGATGACCTTTTAACGCCGGGTATCGAACGGCCGGCTTTGAGCATCCCTTTAAATACCGTCCTTAAGCCGTAAGGGGGTGTTTGTGTGTGTTTGCGTGTGTGTGCGTGTGATGAGGGGAAGGAGGAGGAGGAGGAGGAGAAACGAGGAGTCAATCGAGATTCTGACGCCAGAATTCTTCGTGTTGGGATGCTTGGATTGTCATTTATAAATACCAACGACTATTTCCTTTACATTACTCGCTGACATGTTCATTTTCGTTATTTAAATAAACAATCGCTACGTATTATTCTATATAAAAAAATTGGTTAACCGTCAATTGCGATGACTTTTTTGTTTTTGTTTTTTATTTTCAATTATCTCTGTCAAATGTCGGTATCTTTAATGCTTATTTATTGGGTTCGATTATCTGGTCATTTTACGTAGTTCGATTCACAATCAAGAGTGCGCAGAACTTTTTGGTGACTTTCGGGAAATTTGTGCACGGATTATTTATATTCTATTTCGAAGGATCGAAGCATCCTCAATCGAAATTGTATTTTTTAAATTATACTCCTCCCAAATGCAAAATTATTTAAAATACAAATGTTTATAAAAGCTTGCTGTGGGATATTAAATTAGCATTTGTAGATATTGAAATGACAACTTTTTTGGATTTTGGATAAAAATTCGCGAGAGTATTGGGAACTTTGTTAGGATAATCGTGAAATGAACATTTTTCAATTTATTGCCATCTACTGTATAGATAAAAATAATGCGATTATTTTAAGCTTAAGATGATCGCTTATTACCGCGAAAGCTTTAATTATAGAAGATAAACATATTGACTCGTTATAATGACAAAATTATTGCCCTGGAATTACGGGCATTTCATATTTCTAATAAAATTCTAATAAAATTCTAATAAAATTAGAACAAGCAATTTTAATACTTTAATACTTTTATATTCTCTTTCTTGGAACATCATTTAGCCACGTTAAATCCACGTTAATTTTCACACCAAGCCATTAGCCATTTAATCAAGCTTGTCGTCGAACCATATGTGTGTGCGAACAATTAACTCGGATTGAAGTGGAATGATCATGCAAATACATCCAGAGCATAAATCTAAAGTCGCGCGGTACATTAATATGTCGATTGAATGCTTCAACAGTTTCATGGGAATATTTTTGGCAAAGTCAAAATTAATCTCTCGCAAATGCCTAAAGAACGTTTTGACAATTATAAATAATGTCGTTCTTTGAAAATTATCTTTACTTTTCGGAATTTTAGAGCTCTGATTTTCATGCTTTCCACCGTATTTCTCGCCCATTACCGCTAATACCAATACGAATCGTAAATTGATAAATTAATTAAATAGAATTATTAGCGAAAGATAACTATTTGTGTACATTGCAGCGTGTTCTATGTGTTTTGGCTACTGAAGTACTTGGCCATTGAAATACTGAAAATTAGGAAAAGCGAGAAACGAAAGAATTTTCTCTTTAAACAATTTAGGAAGCTTTTGTAAATTCGCTGAATTGTTTGTAAGAAGGTTAAAAGAATCATTTGGAAATAATAGAAAAGTGTCGAATAGAAAATCGAAATAGAAAATCCGTTATAAAAATACGTTGCAATCTTCTTTAAGACATAAAAAAAAAAAAAAAAAAAAAAAAAAAAAAAAAAAACTTTACTTGGATTAAAGAGGCTGGGCTAACCTTCCCAAATAATGACATACATTTATATATTCAAAAGGCTCACAATAAACGTCACTGAATTCTCAACCAAGAACCAAAGTAACCCTTCGACAGTCCCGTCAAAGATATAACAAGTTAAAGTCGAAAGAAGAATTTCAAAGAATTCCATTATATCAATCAATAGTCAAAGCTTGAACGGTAAAATGGATCTATTCTCATGAGTTAACGAGTATACAATCATAGAAGATGTCAATCATCCTTAATTTCTTAACTTACAATCAATCATTGTTTTATAAATATAAAAAATAAAAAATAAAAAATAGAAAATAAAAAATAGAAAATAATTTCAAAAAAAAAAAAATACAAACGTACGGTTAAGTAATTTCATATAATCTCTAATGGATAATTATTTTGCATTTGGCTATCGAATCCCCACAGCGCAGGTGAACACTTACTTATATTTTCCAACTCTTCTCCCGACCACTCGATCGCACATCTCCTCACATTACATTCACACGACTAATATTTCTTATTGACTTTGCCTATTAAATTTATTAAAATCATAATCACTCCAACTTGACTTAGCTTTTCGCTCATTTGAAAACTTCATCAGTCTTTTAGTATACGATAAATTCTATTCTAAGCGTATTGTGGTTTGCTAATCTGGGATACGAATTTCACTGGCGGCAATATTTTTTTACAATGTATTAATAATACATTTGTGGACTGTAACATTTACTCGAAATAAGTATCACCGCGACGATAAGGATGAAAGACTGAAGGACGGAATGAAAGAAAGAAAGAAAGAAAGAAATTTAATATAATAATGATTGATGAATGGTGGAAAGGGTGTGGGAGCTAATAATAACCGATACATCACAAAATAGACAATCCCATAGCATCCCAAGGCTCGTGAAATGTTGAATTACAAGAAAATTTTTTCGACAATTGTTCGTTTATAAATTTCCTTCGTCCCGTCTAGTTATCATTAGCAACATCTAGTTAACAAGGAGCCATCCCTATTAAGTGCAAAAATTGGCCCCTCAATCGGGCACGAGTGCAACGCCTACAAGAGAGAACACATATGAACACACAGAAACGTTGAAAAAAAAAATAAAAAAATAAAATAAAAAAAGGAAGCGACACGAGCGATGGAATAGAGAATGAGGGGGTGATGGTGCGAGTGGGTGGGTGCGAGGGGGCTGTTAGTGGTGGCGGTGATGGTGTGCGGGGAGATTGAGGGGGGGGGGGTTTGGAGTGAGAGGCGGGGAGAAGCGGGGAGAGGTGGTGAGAGAGGTACGTAAGCGCGTACGTGCACGCGCGAGTATTTATTTAAAAATCGAGCTCGAAGTTCAATATATAAAGAGCGCGCGTAATGTTTGCCGTAGCCGGGGTCTCGTGTTTCAAATTAAATAAGAATGTTAATGAGAGCGCGGCATTATGTTATTTGATGTTGAAGGGACGAAGTAAGTTCGGCGCAAAGAAGTCGACAGTGCTTAACAAGATGCAATCGTTAATTTGAGTTGTGAGAATTCCCCTTACTTCCGTCGTTCGCCAGGGAGCTTTTCATTTTGGGAATTTCACTCGTTTCGCCACTTGCTTTACGCACGGGACTGCCTGCCTCCTGC